AAAATAACCTGTGGTAGCCTTTAATTGTCATAAAACTCAAAAAGTGTTTAGTTTGTCCAGCCGGGACTAATGTAAAAAACATGGCTGCCTCTGTAATGTGAATATAAAGTATTTAAATCTACTTTATTTAAATATAAAGGGCCTTTTCTGGGGTAAAGAAGACTACAATTCAAACAATTTAGATGAAACGAACTAGTGAAAACATCATGAGAATTATTCTCCATTAAATTTCTGCCAATACTTTCACTTGAATCTGACTCACTGGAGCTTTACGTTGAGTCCTAGTATCAGTGCTGAAACTACAGTAGGACAAATGTTATTCACATCAGCCTTTTTAACCTGCTAGGGTAGAAAACACAAAGAAAAATTCCCAGAAAGAATAAAGCCAGGACGCACAATACTAAGACTCTGAAACTAAAGCAGCTCAATGGAGTAAAGCATGTTAAATGTTATAATGTAGGTCACATCTGCATTTTTCCTTAACTGACATGTCTGAATATCTTTGGTGGAAAAGGCCTGTTGTCACAGGATTCTTCACTGATTGCATCCATCTAAATGTCCTCTTTTCCATTTAGGCCACACATGACCAAGTTATTTATAACCAGCAGCTCTCTGACACAACATCACAAAGGGAAATGTAGTAAGAATCCAAAAATAAGACACAAATATAAATATACAGCCATACAGACTATTTATATTCATGCATTATGTCAGTGCGATGAAGTATATACAATTTAAACTTATACTGTCTGTAGTCTCACGAGCGGCTTAAAAATCCAGAAAAAATAACATGAGGTCAAACAAAGAGTTGACCAAAAGCAAAACCCATTTATTTATTCAAATAAATGAATAAATGTTGAGAAAATATTGAGTGAAGTGTCTTAAAGTTGTTAGTGGTAATAAGAAACCCAAAGTAAGAGCGTGGGAGAAGTTTCCCCCTCTCTCTTCAACATGGCACAAATGTGGAGTGCTCTTACACCAAGTACAATGGGTCATGGTTTTTCCAAAACATGATGATGACAACACATCTACTCAGCATCTGCAACACAAAACACTATTAAAAACTGCAGAAATGTTCTAGTCTTAAAGACACTTAAAGCAGTACAGTTTTACATTCAGCCATTCACACACACATACATACAGTGCATCTACGGGCAGCATTTTTTCTCTATGAGAAGTTGTATTTGTGTTTTCTTTTTCATTATAGTTATTCTTATACATTCAAAGAATCTGTACAAAATCAAACCTCAATAAAAAACAACATCACAAACAGAGCCTAACCCCCTAACCCTATATAAACATGAATTCTTTCCTCCCAAAAAAATAACTTGTTAAAGTTATAAGAGACATATGGTGTTAGATGAGTGTTTCTTGTATTACATAGCTCAAAGTATGTCATAAAAGGGCCTCCACAGAGAACACTGAAGATCCTTCCACACATTTAAATTAATTCACATCACTTCCTTTCACAGAAATATTGCCATTGTGCAAAAATATAAACACCTTTATTCTTCATAAACACTGCATTTGTTTTCAGACATGTTTTCTTAATTCAAGATCATTTGGCTGGATCTCTATGTTTTATGTACAATTATTTATTATAAAGTTTACTGTCAAACTTAATCCAGATTTTTATTCTGGATCTGCACCAAATCACAAACACACCCATTTAAGTCAGTCCTCCGTATATGACAGATTTTTCTTCAAATTGTTCTGTTGAAAAACTTTTATGCCACGATAAAGAAATATAAATAAAAGATAGTAAATTCCTAAAGCTGCCACTGGTCCAGGTCCACACCCAAATTTACTGAGTTAACTGAGGACCCATAAAACATCCTTCCACCGGTATTTAATCCTTTTGACTATAACTAACTAAGGCCCAGATCACACCTGGTTTTAACATGTGGTTTTTGTGATCCAATCTCAAATGGATATCAGTTTTAAGTTCAGGTATGAACGCACTCAGATCAGATATAGATCCAATCAGACCAGACCACATTCGGAGTCTGGGCCACATGTGTCAACATTCTTTTAACAGTGTGAACACAAATCTGTCCTGGGCCACATATGAAGAACGTCCTCAGCTGACATCTCTGAGCTGCGGCAGTTTCACTAGAAATCAAACATATTGTTTCTCTTCTTGTTGATTTGTTTGTAACCACCAACACAATAGACACTGATCCACACATAATGATCCATACTTTGATTAAATTGGTCAAATCTTTCTTCACGTCTGCACGAGATTCATTCAGAATCTGTTGACTTGTTTCCTCACCTCTTTTTCGCTTGTGACGTACGTGTTAATAACAGGTTTATACAGGTCCTAAGAAACGCAGGCAGATGGGTAGCTGTGTCTCAGGAGATAGAGCGGATTGTCCAGAATACCGGTGGTTCGATCCTGGTCAAACAGCTGTCACGGCTGTGCTGGCAGTGAATGACTAATCTATGACAGAAAAAGTAATGCACATAAATTCAGTGTATGAATGTGTTTGAGAACGTGGGGATGACACACATTTACTGTAAAGTTCTTTGATTGACATCGACTAGAAAAGTTCTATATAAATACAAAAACAGATGAAAAGCAATCCTCTTGGAGGAGGTAAAATATTTGACCTGACTTAGACAGTGTGAAACTAACTTTAACTTAGTCAACCAGCAGGCTGCTGCTGATAAAATACATGCTTGTCTTCTAGAAAGTAGTAGCCTATTCAGTTATGTGTGTGTGTGTGTGTGTGTGTGTGTGTGTGTGTGTGTGTGTGTGTGTGTGAGAGTGTGTGTGTATGTGTGTGTGTGTGTGTGTGTGTGTGTGTGTCAGTAAAGCAGGACACACTCAATGAGGCTATTCATCCTGCAGCAACAAACCCTCTCTTTACCAAACTGTGTGGAGGAGTTGGAGTTACCTGAAATACTTTAAACAACAAATGACAGTTTCAGCAGCTGAGATGTAAAAACTTTAACAAAACACACAGAAGTGTCCAGTGTCAACTGTTTCTACACTGGTTTCTCCTCACATGTCTGTCTGTCTCTCTGCCTGTCTTTCTGTCCAGATATTGTATTTTTCAGACACAGTAAAGACAGGATACTCAAGAAATGCTACTTTGGGATTCAGATGCCTGTAAATGGAAAAGGCCTTGAAATGCTCACTCCACATCTGGTTCTACTTGTTGCACTCCCTCTTAATCAGTAACACACATCCTTGAACACTAACACAGTAGAAAAGAACGGCAACACACATGGCTGACTTGTCTCCTCTCATTGGCCGCCTCTTACTCGGAACCTCAGACTCAAAAAACGTCCTTGTTTTTCAGTGATAATTTCCTTATTTAGACAAAAATCTACAAACAAACTCTTTTGCATGTGCACAGACCCATGAAGTCATAAAATCAGGACTCTGGGCTCATGAAATCCAGATAGCAGAGTTCACTCAACTGTTATTCTATGGATATTTGCCAAAGTAGACAAGGAAAGGAATGACTCAGTTTTGCGTTTTTGAAGGTGCAGTATTTGAACTTCTCCTGGCTTGGCCTCCTCAGTGATAAATATAAATTTGATTGTAAAAATAAATCTTCCAGTGAGGTAAGTGAAGACTTAATTGTCAGCTGCAGTTGTAACCTGATGAGACAATACTTGAGAGCAGAGATGTGTCGTTAAAATAAAACAAGTAAATGTGATCTTTTTAAAACGATATCCTACATGTCTGAGAGGTTTCAAATAAATCTGCTCTGACAATATTGATGCTGTACTGAGGGAAACATTTAACTCTCTGTCCCACACAGACGCCAGCAGCTTCATGTTCTCACCAACACCAACTTCAATCTGATACAAGGTTGTAACCACAATAATCTAGCAAACTTATGGTTCACTTGTTACCAGGGTAAATCACCATGGCAACTTATGCTAAGTTCGAGATATTATCAAAACCTATCGTCAACCAAACAAGTGACCAATCAGATCACTGGAAAAGCAGAGTGATGATCTACAGGATCCTGACAGGGACAAAAGAGTAGAGTGGACTGTTTTTCTATTCCAGACTTTGAATGTGTCCTCTTGGGTTTTAAAGTAAAGTTCATCCCAATATATAAAAACATTCTTTGACTGTGACATGAAACCTGATCCTGTTGATGTTTTTTTCTGTTTCATTGTATCAGTGCAGATCAGAACAACTGGAGGAGGAATCAAATTTGATAAAAAATGATCCACAAATTGTTAAATATTTCTCATGATTATAAATGAACATTCCAGTCAGGCTGAGCTAATCAAACATGAACGACTTCTCTTCTTTCTGTGTTAACAGAAAAACAACAC